CATCATTGTTGTTCGGCGGCCCGGGCTGGGGATTCGAACACGCCACCTTAGGTGTATGTGGCTGGCGTCTTAGCCGCTTGAGCCACAGGCGCTGAGCCCTTATCACTTCTTAAAGGCAGTTTTTAAGCTGTATCAGAAATGTGAATGCATAGAACACTGAATAGAAAAGGAATATATACAACGTGTGAGGGATTAAGTTTTTAGGATCTGTATTTATAACTCTAAAATGCTGATGAGGAGTAAAATTTTCTACCTGTACTCAAAATTGTTAACTAGTGGCAAAAAGAAAACAAATAAATAAATAAACCCAAAAAACCCTGTGGGACATCTAAGGAAGGAGTTTATGATCTTGATGACTTGGTATGAAAACGCTTCAGGAAGCTTTTAATAAAATTTCCTCGTCACATTTATTTCTCCTTATAACCTGGTTAGCACTAACATGCTGAAATCACGATGAGCCAGTTCAGACTACTCTGCATCTAGGGCAAAGGCTTTTCCTTTAGCAATCAAAGCCCTGTTAGAAAATTAAGGCCACAAGATGACCACAGTGACAGGGTAACTATACCGGACACAGAAAAGACAGGAAATTCTTACCATTGGGAATATGCAGAATCAGCCAGTCCTGTTTTGCACAGAAATGAATAACATGGCAAAGACTAAGGGTTTTTCCTGTCCCCTTCTCTCCATCTAAAGCACTTGTTGTTAAAGAAAACATCTCCAAAAGGAATACTTCTACTGCAAGTACTCCTGCATTCCCTCCTCATCTCAGGGAAGACATCAGCTCACAAGGGAACAGGTAGGCAGGAAAGGATACAGAGGAGATATCGTACAGCTGGATAAGCAAAATTGGTGTTTTTTAGGCAATGCAGAAGCTCAAGCACTGGTTTCCTCACCATCAGGCAAGCTTCCCCAAACGTCTTCACCTGACAAAACCAGAAGAGGGTAGGAGAGGAGTGTGTGGGACTTGTAACACAGCAACCAAGAGCACCAAACCGCACATCTTTAAACTAAAACATGTTATTTCACACCAACAACAGTCATTTAGGTTTTTATTATTCTTGTTAATGAAGCATAGTTATTATTAGGTTACTAAGTAGAAAATGTCTGATTTCCCTAAATACTAAGTTTGATATTTGATATCCATGTTGTTTCACTGACATGTCTAGTTTAATTTTTATTGTAAAGGTACTTCCTCATTCTTTTAAATGCACATTTTGGCTTGTGATTATCTTTCAAAAAAATATTTTAGAAGCTGGGTGTTGTGGCAGGCACCTGTAGTCCCAGCTACTTGGGAGGCTGAGGTAAGAGAATCGCTTAAGCCCAAGAGTTTGAGCTGTGATGCAAGGGTGACATAGTGAGACTATGTCTCAAAAAAAAAAAAAAAAACAACAAAACAAAACAAAAAAAACTTTACAGTAATTTTTGTAAAACCATGGATAAGTAAAAAATTTGTGTTATTTTCAAATAGAGCTCTATTGTGGAACCAATGTGGAGCAGACAGTTTAAAACAGTAACAAAGAATGTGGCTAATGAATGCACAGTGTATGGTTTGATAAGTTCTGCTGTGGTGATTTTAATATGGAAAATAACCCTTGTGGATGACCTGAGACCAGGTGAATAATAAGCTGAAAGGTGCAGTAGAAGCAAATCCACCTTCACCTGTGTGAACCAATAGCAGTTATGACACTACTGGACCACTTCAATAATACTGGACCACTTGAAACTAATCAGCCAGGTAAAGAAGCTGCATAGATGAGTACCACATGAATTAAATGAGCATCAGAGAGAAATCATCTTGAAGATTATTTTTTTTCTGAGACAGTCTTACTTGGTTGCCCTTGGTAGAGTGCCGTGGCGTCACAGCTCACAACCACCTTAAACTCTTGGACTTAAGTGATTCTCTTGCCTCAGCCTCCTAAGTAGCTGGGACTATAGGCACCCGCCACAACACTATTTTTTTGAGATGAGGTCTCGCTTTTGCTCCGGCTGGTCTTGAACCCGTGAGCTCAGACAGTCCACCCACCTCAGCCTCCCAGAGTGGTAGGATTATAGGTAAGTCACCACGCCTAGCCTGAGGCTTGCCTTTCTTTTTCTTTTTTTGAGACAGAGTCACACCATGTCACCCTTGGTAGAGTGCTGTGCTGTCACAGCTCACAGCAACCTCTAACTCTGGGGGCTAAGCAATTTTCTTGTCTCAGTCTCCCGAGTAGCTAGGACTACAGGCACCCAGAACGGCACCCGCCATGACACCTGAATAGTTTTTTGTTGCACTTGTCATTATTGTTTAGCAGGCCCAGGCCAGGTTTGAACCTACCAGCCTTGGTGTTTGTGGCTGGTGCCCTTACCCACTAAGCTATGGGCACTGCTGTTATATTGTATTATTACGTGATGAAACATGGATTCTTTTTGACAATAGCAAATATTTGGTACAATGGGTAGATAAAGATGACATGCTGAAACACAGTCCAAAACCAAATATTCATCAAAAAAAGCTAATGGTGGCTCGGCGCCTGTGGCTCAAGTGGCTAAAGCACCAGCCACATACACCTAAGGTGGCGGGTTCAGATCCAGCCCGGGCCCGCCAAACAACAATGAAGGCTGCAACCAAAGAAAAAATATATAGCCAGGCGTTGTGGTGGGCACCTGTGGTCCCAGCTACTTGGGAGGCAGAGGCAGGAGACTCGCTTGAGCCCAGGAGTTGGAGGTTGCTGTGAGCTATGCCACGGCACTCTACCCAGGGGGACAGCTAGAGGCTCTGTCTCAAAAAAAAAAGCTAATGGTGTGTTTGGTGGCACAGCACTGGTATTATCCACTCTAGCTTCATAAAACCTGGTCAATTGATTATAGCAGATGTCTACTGCAACCAATTAGACCCAAAGATGAGGATGTTTGTGACCAAGCAGCTGAGATTGGTCAGTAGAGACAGGCCTTAAAAGACAACACTCAACCACAATGGTGCTCAAACTACAGGGTTGGACGTGGAAACTCTCCGTCATCCACTGTATTCACCAGACCTTGCACCAATGGCCTATAACTTCTTTGGACTACTTCTTGCAAGGAAAAATATTCAATTCTCAACAAACTGTGGAAAATGGCTCATGTGATTTCACTGCCAATCCCTCTCTGGGCTTCTGGGCTGTCAGCATACACAAGCTACCATTATGACGGCAAAATTATGTTGATAGTTTAGGCACATGCTCTGATGAATTGTATTGCTTCTTTTTTATTTTTATTTTTTAAATTTCAGGAGGGGAGACAGTTTAAATTATACTGTGTTTTGCCTGCCAAGTAGTTGGGACTTCAGGTGTGAACCACCAGGCATGGCTCATTTTTTTATTTTTTAAGAGATGGAGTTTTGCTCTTGCTCAGGCTGGTCTGGAACTCAAGCAGTCCTCCTGCCCAGAGTGCTAGGATTACAGGTGTGAGCCACTATACCCAGCCTAAGAAGGAATAATTTCTCATGTTGAATCAAATTCAGCAAGAGATAGGAACGAGAACCAACAAACCATGCTTGCAGTTAATCACAATTTTTTTTTTTTTGAGACAGAGCCTCAAGCTGTCGCCCTGAGTAGAGTGCTGTAGCATCACAGCTCACAGCAACCTCAAACTCCTGGGCTCAAGCGATTCTTCTGCCTCCACCTCCCAAGTAGCTGGGACTACAGGTGCCTACACGCCTGGCTATTTTTTGGTTGCAGCCGTCATTGTTTGGCGGGCCTGGGCTGGGATTCGAACCCGCCAGCTCAGGTGTATGTGGCTGGCACCTTAGCCACTTGAGCCACAGGCACTGAGCCAATCCCAAATTATTTTAATGGTTATAAAGCAATCCAACATTATACTTTTTGAGCTGAAATTATATCCACAAAAGAACATATTCTGAAAATTTGTGAGAGTGAAGAACTATGATGTATCTAATCAAAATACCATTTCTATTCAACTCAGGAATGTATTATCATTTTTGTTTTTAGGAAGTATAACTATTTTCATGACATTTTGCCAATGGACATACTCATTTTAAACAATTATTTGAATGCAAAATTATCTAGTAACATATTGAGTAACAGAAGGAAAAAAATGTTGAGATATATAAGAACATTTATGTGGTTCCATAAACGATTTAAGATGGTTAACAGAAAGATAAATATTGTACCTTTTTTTTTTTTATTCCAACAGAGGCTCATTCTGTTGCCTGGGGTAGAGTGCCATAGCCTCCTACCTCACAGCAACCTCAAAATCCTGGGCTCAAGAGGCCCTCTTGCCTCAGCTTCCCGAATAGCTGGGACTATAGATGCCTGCCACCATGTCTGGCTAATTTTTCTATTTTTAGTAGATGGGTCTCACTCTTGCTCAGGCTGGTCTTAAACTCCTGAGCTCAAGGGATCTTCCTGCGTTGGCCTCCCAGAATGCAGGGATTATAGGCATCAGCCAGTGTGTCTGGCAGTAATTATACTATTTATAAAAGATAAACAACAGCTGAATTCGTTTTTCAGATTCAAATTTCATCTTTCATAGTTTTCCACTCATTTAACCCCAAGGCTTTGTTATCAGCAGCTTCTATTCTGGGCTTCCCCCAATTCCACTTTGTTTTGAGCACCTGCATTGTAAAGCGAGGAGGCAGGCCATGGGGAAATACAGTCTTCAGATCCTGGAGGGGAATGTTGTAGTGCTGACCCTCGTGCTGTTCCCCATGCTTGGCCTAGGAAATAAAATGCAAACATGTATAGCAGATACACAAAGTGACCAAGACTTTGAAAAGTGAATAGGGCCTGCTAGCCTACATTCATCTTAGTTAGAAAAGATATCTTTTATGCTTTATCTATATCAGTGGTTCTCAACCTGTGGGTTGCAACCCGTAGGAACTGCATTAAAGGGTCGCAGCATTAGGATGGTTGAGAACCACTGATCTAGACCAAAAAGCTGGATGATGTCCCCAAATCCAGTGTTTTTATAAAGTATTGGCTTATATGATGAAAGTGGTTGTTCAGTGAAGTAACCCTAGATATGCGGATAGCAGAGATAATTTCTGCCATCTGGATTCTTCTGTGCTGTGTATAGAGATGCTCCAGTCATGTGACAAGATTATCTGCATGCTGCTGTTTCCATAGAAACCTCAGAGGAATTAGCAGATAAAGGGACTACAATTACAGAGACAGCTGAAAGACACTTCAGTGATTTCATTCATTTATTCTATTTATTTTGTGCTTACGAAAATAGATAATATTAAAGACATATTTAAAATACACCCTGCTGAGATGGTGTTTTGGGTAATGGATTATTTTTCCCCTCCACTTGGCCTGTATTAACATGGGAAGACTCAGAGGGAAGGGGCAGGGACAAAAAAGCTGTTGCTTCCCTTCACATTAAAGTACAGACCACACATCTAATTTCATTTATGAGAAGTAGGAACTTCTGGAGTTGGAGTTGATTGCTGGAGAAGGAGCAAAGACATCAATGCCCAGCCTAATTCAATCTAAACTAGAAAATGTAACATAAGGTACTGCTAGAATCTTGGCTTCTGTGGACAAACGTCACCTTAAATGTTGCTTTTCTCATATGAGGTCAAGTTAGTTTCCTTTTCAGACACTAGAAAACTCATTTACAAAGGTAAAAAAATAGTACCAGACTGCTTACTAGAAAACCTGTATTCTCTACCTGCTCTGCTGTGTGACCTTGGTCAAGTAATTTGATCTCGTTAGGGTTCTTCACATCACAGGTTAGTATGACCTGTTTTTTAAATAAAGTTTTATAAGAACAAAGCCACACACCCATTTATTTATGGAATAATTGAGTACCTGTGACAAAGGTTGTTACATCCCCATCAACCTAAAATACCTGGTTGTTTAAGGAAAAATTTGCCACCCAACATAAAATAAGATCAATAATAATAGCTAAACTAGGATAAGCCTTAGTATTTACTATGTACCGAATCTGTTCCATAAAATGTGTGGCACTGGGTGAGTTCACTAGGAAGGATGAAATCAGAACTGATATGGACTACTCTGACTAAATGACACCACTTAATGTTACCTCATCAGACAGAGAGGGTCCCAGCTCCAGAGTCCTCTCAGATGCACTGCTAATTGACAGTGCAAATGTAAACCTGCTCAGCTGTTTAAGTCTCAGTTTTCCTGAGAAGTAAAATGAGGACAGCACACGCTGTAAGCCCCAAGAAACCCCAGATCCCATTAGCTACTCACCGGGTCACTCTCACTGGTGCAGGAAATAACTCTGGGACTCTCAACTGGAACCTGGTTATCTAGGGAAGCAGCAATGCTTTGGGGTGCCTGGGTCCCCGTGTACAAAAACTGTCCAGGATCCAGCTATAAAAGAAACCCTATTAGTGTTTTGGAATTATTAGGCTTTCTGTACTTGCCATAACACTGAAGATGTGTGAGTTACGCCTGCAACAGGGAAAATGTAACTGACATACATTTTCAGTGAAGGATCTTTGTTATTATTTATAATTCACTAAGTTCAATGGCATCAGACATAACCTGTATCTGTTCCAGCCTTGGCACTGTCTTAACAGGGTTCCACCCCATATGTAAACAAATAATTCTGTTAGACCTTGTCCAGGAACATACATAGGACAGCCAAAACAACATAAAGTCAAGCTTCTTTAAATGCACTTACCCCATGATGAATGGCTGCCAATACTGTGTAATTCTTAGCTATCAGTCACCTCAGCTATCAGGGGATTAGCACAATGTTCCTTACTATTTGAAAGCTATAATTACAGGACCTGTACCATTTTTCTTGTTAGCTGTTTCCTGGAATAAAATATCGTTTTTTTAAGGACGTTGCCCTCCATAGAGTGCTGTGGTGTCACAGCTCACAGCAACCTCCAGCTCTTGGGTTTCGGCGATTCTCTTGCCTCAGCTTCTCGAGTAGCTGGGACCACAGGTGCCTGCCACAAGGTCCAGCTATTTTTTGTTGTAGTTTGGCTGGGGCTGGGTTTGAACCTGCCACCCTCAGTATCAGTATATAAGGTCGGCATCATACTCACTGGTGCCACCCGGAATAAAGTATCTTTCATTAGAGACGTGGAATGAGGGAGTATGTAAAGCATACAGCTAAGTGAAAGTTAATTGTTCTATAGGCAACTCAGTCAACTGTCTAGCAAAAGCTCTGAATTAAGGGGGTGGTGAGGAATACAATTTCAGGAGACAAATCTGAGAAAATGTTAAGTGGAGAACCTCAAAACTGAGCTTAATGATAACAGATCTTAGGTAGAAAGGGGAAAAAATGTCAGTTGTAAAGAAAAGACTAGGGTATGAAACCAGGAAAAACAAGAAAACAGGGATGTGAGAGATGGTATAATAAGGCAGTTGCTTAATAAATCAACAGGTAATATGAAAGCTACCTGTACTAAGTCTCACCAAGCAGCTTCTTGAGTGCAGAAAACTTGTACCATCACTTGTAACACTTACACCTATTTTATGAGCAGATATTAAACACTATAATTCCATCTCTAAGTCTATTCCTACTATACAGGTTGCGAGATGCTATCTTATTTATTTATTTTTGTAGAGACAGAGTCTCACCATATCACCCTCAGTAGAGTGCCATTGTGTCATAGCTCACAGTAATCTCCAACTCCTGGGCTTAGGCGATTCTCTTGCCTCAGCCTCTCGAGTAACTGGAACTACAGGCATGTACCACAACACCCGGCTATTTTTTTGTTGCAGTTTGGCTGGGACCAGGTTTGAACCCACCACCCTCAGTATATGAGGCTGGCGCCCTAACCACTGAGCCACAGGCACTGCCCTTTATTTTTTTGAGACAATTTTACTCTGTCATCCTGGGTAGAGTGCTGTGCTGTCAGCATAACTTATAGCAACCTCAAACTCCTGGGCTCAAGTGATTCTCCTGCCTCAGCCTCCTGAGTAAGTGGGACTACAGGCACACATCATAACATCCAGCTAGTTTTTCTATTTTTAGTAGACAGGGTCTTACCTTGCTCAGGCTGGTCTTGAACTGAGCTCAAAGGACTCTCCTGCCTCAGCCTCCTAGAATGCTAAGATTATAGGCGTAAGCAACAATGCCTGGCCAAGAGAGGCTATTATAACAACTTTCTGACTGGTATCTTTATTTCTAAATCTTTGATTCTTCATTCTTCATTGTCCTTTGTCCTCCCAAAAAACAGGCTCTACCTTCAGCTAATTAAAAAGCTTGGATGGAGCCAGGCATAGGAGAACATTCCTGTAGTTCCAGCTACAGGAGGTGTGAGAGGTGTGAGGATTGCTTAAGCAGAGGGATTTGTGGCCAACTTGGATAATACAGTTAGACCCTAGCTCTTAAAAACCAGAAAAGAAAAGCCCAGATGGTTCCCCACAGATGTCAAAGTAAGTCTCAAATTCCTTAGCATGACAATCAAGGCCACTGCAAAGGTGTCACCTACTCTTCTAGTCTCATTCCTTCATAAACTCTACATGATCATGGTAAAACATGTCATGCGCTTTTATGCTTCAGTAACGTTGCTCAAAGTCCCCTTTTCCCTACTTCAATCTTACCCACTCATCAAGACTCAACCCAAATGTCACATTTTTGGTGAATATTTGCCAGACATCTCCAGTCAAAACTAATTATCTTTGCTTCTCTGTTAATAGCACTTTCTTTGTATTACATAATAGTTTTACTCTGTCTTGAATTGTAACTATGGTTATTGTTTTTTTGGGTTTTTTTAAAGACACAGTCTCACTTTGTCACCCCCGGTAGAGTGCCATGGTGTCACAGTTCACAGCAACCTCAGACCATTGAGCTCCAGCACCCACCACAATGCCTGGCTATTTTTAGAGACAGGGTCTCACTCTGGCTAAGGCTGGTCTCAAACTCGTGAACTCAGGTGATCCACCTGCCTTGGCCTCCCAGAGTGTTTGGGATTACAGGCGTAAGCCAACACTCCCAGCCAAACCATGGTTATTGTTAACTGAGTACCTCCTAGATCACAGCATCCTCAAACTACGACCCACGGGACACAGGCGGCCCACCAAGAACATTTATCTGGCCCGCTGGGTGTTTTTGCCGCCACTGCCTGTCCTGCTTAGCAGCTGACGTGTCCTGGGGCCCACTGTCCGGCCCTCCAACCATTTGAGGGACGGTGAACTGGCCCCCTGTTTAAAAAGTTTGAGGACCCCTGTCTAGATGATAGGTAATACGGCATTTTACATATACTATTTTTGAGCTCAGAATCAAAGAAGGTAGGTAGACATCACCCTTGTTTTATGATGGGGTAAAACGAAATTCAGGGAAGTTATTTTGACTAAGGTCACTGAGATGATAGGTGGTAGAACCAGAATTCACATCCGAGATCTCGTATTGTATCAAGTTATGGCTTGGTACCTAGGTCTCAAGTGGCTAAGGCACCAGCCACTTACACCTAAGGTGGCAGGTTCGAATCCAGCCTGGGCCAGCCAAACAACAATGATGGCTGCAACCAAAAAATAGCTAGATGTTGTGGTAGGTGCCCGTGGTCCCAGCTACTTGGGAGGAGGAGGCAGGAGACTCGCTTGAGCCCAGGAGTTGGAGGTTGCTGAGCTGTGATGCCACAGCACTCTACCCAGGGGGACAGCTGGAGGCTCCTGTCTCAAAAAAAAAATAAAAGTTATGTTATATATATTTGTCTCTCAGGCTAGGCCACATACTTGGAAAGAAGGGATCTGATTTTATTTGTTTGTTATTTATCTCCAAGTACCACAAATACTTAGTTCTTGTTCCCTGGAATAAAAAAACTTTCATTTAAGACATATAATGAGAGTATATAAAGCATCCACCTAGGAAAGTCAACTGCTCTATAAGCAGCTTAGGGAACTATACATGGAAACCTCTGAACCATTATGTGTAGATTTTAAGATAAAGTAACAGTGTAAAGTAACAGAGTTGTTCTAGCTTTGGCTGAGACTGTAGCATATAATCAACTCTATTGCAGAGACAGCCATGCTCAGCAAATACCCAAGTGCTTTTCTACATTTCTTAGTCTCCTTGTAGAAAGTCAGTCATGTGATTACTTCAGGCCAAAGAGCTATGAGTAGAAATAATTTGTGTCATTTCTAGTCAGATACAGTTAAGAGTAGATATAAAACCTCTTTTCTTCCCCTGTTGTGGTAAGCTTAAAAGCTACAAGTTGAGATGTATCCCAAGAAGGTACATCTTTATTTCTGCATCCAGCCCCCGATCTTGTCTGCAAAGTCTTTTTGGAACTACAAAAACAAAGCAAAATACACACACAACATAAACAATATCCTTTGGCATATTTTTTTTTAAACAGAGTCTCAGTTTAGCCCTTGGTAGAGTGCCGTGGACTTGTAGCTAACAGCAACCTCAAAATCCTGGGCTAAAGTGAGCCTCTTGCCTCAGCCTCCCGAGTAGCTAGGACTATAGGCGCCCATCACAATGGCTGGCTAATTTTTCAGAGATGAGGACTTGCTCACATTGGTCTCAAACTTCTGAGGTCAAGCAATCCACTTGCCTAAACTACTGCACCTGTGCCTGGCCTCACCCTTTGTTGTGACCCATTGAGAAGGCCAATGGTGGCTCAGGCCTGTAATCTCAGCACTCTGGGAGGCTGAGGTGGGAAGTTCCCTTGATCTCAGGAGTTTGAGACCAGTTGGAGCAAAAGCAAGATCCCATCTCTACTAAAAATAGAAAAACTAGTTAGCGTCTTGGTGGGTGCCTGCAGTCCCAGGTATATGGGAGGTTGAGGCAGAAAGAACACTTGAACCCAAGAGTTTGAGGTTGCTATGAGCTAGGCAGATGCCAGGGCACCCTAGCCAGGGCAACAGAGCAAGATTCTGTCTCTCAAAAAAAAAAAAAAAAAAAAAAAAAAA